TGCTTTAGCTGTCCTATGCTTTATCTTTTCCCTGTGAACACATTCTGTCCATCTCATTCTTTTTAATGGCTGTGTAATATTCCATCGTATGGCTGCATTATAATTCAGACTATTATGATGAATATTTAGATTGCTACCAGGTTTTTGCTAATATGTCTGTTGTAATGAATATCCTTGTACACTTATAATAATTTGTATTTGTAGAAATAGAATTGGTCAGTCCATAGGTAAGCATATTAAATGCTTGCTGTCTTAAATTCTCTTCCAAAAAGGATTTTTTTTTTTTTTTTTAACAAACTTGCAGCCCTACCACCAGTGTGTAAAGGTTCCTGTTTCACACATTAGATAGTTTTTAAGGTATAGGTCTTCACAGGATTCTTGTAGCTTTTGTGAATCATTTAATATTACATTGAAATTCTTCAGGAGATACTTAAAATTTGCCACATTAGCTATATAGTCTCTTGGGTACTAATATTAAAGAAATGTATTGGATGGAATGGATTAAAAATTAGGATGATTCATTTTATTTTCTCAGTCTTGGCCAGACTACTAATCTCATGCTCCATATCAGCCACTGATTACTTTGGAAGCCTTTTTGGTTTTTCAGTAGGCTTTCTCCTAGCATCTATATTTGGGCCTTCAGGTGAATATGAGAATAGAGATGGAGTCATTTTCTCGAAGACTCTGCCCTCTTCCAGGCGGCCCATATATAATAACATAACCTAACACCGTAATTTGCTTCTTATCATTGGTACTTTGGTGAAAGAGGCCCTACACCAAGCAAGAGCCTGTTTGAAAAATTTGAGTTGTAGGCAGTAGTTTTACTTTACTGAGGGACATCATGTACCATTCTTTTTTTCCCTCCTCTTTAAAAAAAAATCATTTTGCATTTTTTTTTCAGCTTATGGAATTGTAGCCACCCCCCCCCCCCCCGCCCCCCTTGGGTGGTTTAGATCAGCCTCTCCGGGCAGTACTTTGAAGTCTGCGAAATACACTGGTAATTTAGGCTGACATACTTGGCAGGCCCATTTAAAAAGCAGAATTGTTTGATGGCATGACACAAGAGGTCTGTTAACTGAGTTATAAAGAACTGAGGCATTTCCAACAAACCCTTGTTTTTGGCATGAAATTTAAATAGTTCTTACTTTGTGGCATGCAGTGAGTGAACTTCCTGTGATGTAATGTGGTCCCTCAGTGCAAAATATGAGGAAATGAGAATTTTACTATATCTAGCAGTTTCTCCAAGGATGAATGGGTGGAACTGCATATGTGGTTATTTCCTCCTTTAATTCAGTTCGGCTACAGCAAAGGGAATATCTTAGCGAGATGGGAGGAAGCAAGTCTAGAGGGAGTGGTAACGCTTGGGAAATGTGGAAAAAAATGGCCAATCAGTGACGGGAGTTGGAGGGGCTGCCTAAATAGCTTAATTCTTACAGTGGGTTTAGTACAAGGCCCTACAAATCTGCGGCTTTTCTTAAAAATATTGCGGAATCGAATCCAGGAATACATAGCTCATTTGTGTATGTGTGTTATGCAAACATCCTGAAACCTTTCTTGAATAGAGTACAATTTAAGTCCTGTATTTTTTATTGTAAGTTCATCATTGTAATTATCAGAATCACTCAACTTGTTCTAAATTCTAAGTCTTTAAACCAGATGTTGCTCCTCTTATCAGAAAGGTAAGTTTTATGTAGTTTGGAGATCAGGAAAGAAGTATTCCAAGGCACAAAGGTTACCAAAATAAAGCTTCCAGTTTATGTTGCTAAGCTGTCTGAATGTTGGCATTACTGTTGGTCTCTTCTCTCCCAGCAAAAATGGAACAACAAAGTAGTTTGAATACATGTTTGTATATTAAAGTGGAAGCATGTGACCCCAACAAATGGGTACCATATGGCAAAGATACCCAGGAGCAAGTCAGTAATATGAAAGGGATAATTTAGTTCTGTTTCATTTCATTTTTTCCCTTCAGGGAGTGTGCGTGTATATGCGAGCATGTGTGTGTGTTCCTCCGGAGAAATCAAGCCCCACATTTGAGTTTATGCATGTGGTTGGTTTAGTGAGGTTTTATGCCTGCCTGGTTTTAATATTAATCTTTATTCTTACACCTTCCATTAGAGCATTTAGACACCAGATTTCCTTATTCTTGCAAGTGGAAACGAGAGAGAGTGACAGTGGTACAGAACTCCCTTTCCTACATCAGTGGGCTCTTGTGCTGACTTAGAATGTGGCCCACTGGCTGGGCCTGGTCTTGTGTAATAGCTTTATGTGTGTGTTTACCCCCCTCTCCAGGCTTTGTTCATTTATTCAGAAATTAATTGTTGAGGGCTTAGTCTGTGCAGGCCCGGAGCTGGCTTTGACCGTATCCCTCCAGGAATACCTAGAGCCAAGGGCCTTGAATGTAGAAGGCACTAAGAAATGTTACAAGGCTTATTTCTCTACATGTGTTCAGTCAGAAGTTTCACCCCGAACACACTTTCCATGAATTACAATATTGTTGAATGCTAGAAACTTTAGTTTAAGGACTTCAAAAATAAAACACTTGAGAATACTAAAATATGTGTCCTATCAAAACCATTTCAAGAATGTACATCTTTGACTATATTAAGTAGGTGTATATCTATCCATAAGTTTGCTCTTATTTGTTTTCATCTAAGTCCTTCAGGGATTTTCTCCTCTAAATCCTTTAGAGAGGGGCACCTGGGTGGCTCGGATGGTTGAGCGTCTGCCTTCAGCTCAGGTCATGATCCCAGGATCCCTGGGATCGAGCCCCACATCGGGCTCCTGGCTCAGCGGGGAGCTTGCTTCTCCCTCTCCCCCTGCTCATGCTCTCTCTCTCTCTATCTCTATCTCTGTGTCTCAAATGAATAAATAAAATCTTAAAAAAAAAAAATCCTTTAGAGACTTAGGGATTTCCAGTGTTTAGTAAAAGAACATGTGTTCTAGAGCCAAATGATACTGGTCCATTTCTGCTTTTATAACTTATTAGCTATGTAATTAATTACAGTTAGCTCTAGCTAGTTGACTTGACCCTGGGCAAAATCTTTCTGAGCCTTTGTTTCTCCATCTTACTTTTCCTATCCTATTTTATAGGGATGATAAAACTCACTTTACATGATTGTCTTGAAAATTAAATAAGATTATAGATAGAATGATAGGTGCTAAGTACCTAGCACATAGTAGATAATCAGTTGTTAGTTTCACTTTTTGCCCCATTTATGTGCTCCCTTTTATATTACTTTAGTAGTATGGTGTCTTAAAATACCCGTGTTTTATTTGGATATCTGGAAGGTAAAAGACATTTTATATTTTGTCAATGGAAATGGCTATGGGAATAAATCTGTGGGAGAACTTTTGCTCAGCACATGCTAATATAAAGTAGATTATTTTTAGTTCCCCCCAGATATTATTTTGTAATTCTTTCTGTAATTTGAACAGCAAAATGAAGTCCATATTCATTCAGTATTTGTGTCGGAGCAGTCGTCTCCTTTGGAATTAAAGGGCCACAAGTGTATATATCTGTTAAGATTAAATGCTCACTCTTGAGTTTGAGTTTACCTTTATACGCTATACACTTTTTTTTTTTTTAAAGATTTTATTTATTTATTTGAGAGAGAGAATGAGAGACAGAGAGCATGAGAGGGAGGAAGGTCAGAGGGAGAAGCAGACTCCCTGCCCAGCAGGGAGCCCGATGCGGGACTCGATCCCGGGACTCCAGGATCATGACCTGAGCCGAAGGCAGTCGCTTAACCAACTGAGCCACCCAGGCGCCCTACACTTTTTTTTGAAAAGGAGTTTTAATAAAGTTTCAGATCTTTGTAACCATAACTACAAGATACAAAATAGCTCTGTCATGACCAAAACCCTCCTGTCACATTTTTCCCCCCCATCTAACCCCAGGCAACCACCGTCTGTTCTCTGTTGCTATTGTTTTGCCTTTTCCAGAATGTCCAAAAAATGCACTTATATGTAGTCTTTTGAGACTGGCTTCTTTCATTCAGTAGAACGCCCTTGAGATTCATTCAAGATGTCAAGTCTGTTAATAGTTTGTTCCTTTTTGTTGCTGAGTAGTATTCATTCCACTGTGTGGATGAACCACAGTTTGTTTATCCAATCACCGGCAGGGTTCTTTTGGATTGCTGCATGTCTGTCTTAAAATAGTACATTTTGGGGTGCCTGGGTGGCTCAGTTGGTTGAGCGACTGCCTTCGGCTTGGGTCATGATCCTGGAGTCCCGGGATCGAGTCCCGCAACGGGCTCCCTGCTCGGCGGGGAGTCTGCTTCTCCCTCTCCCGCTCCCCCCTCTTGTGCTCTTTCTCTCTCTCACTCTCTCTCTCAGATAAATAAATAAAATCTTTAAAAAAAAAAAAAAGTACATTCTGTAAGTTCTGATTTTCAAAGTAGAATAATACCTAATAATCAAGGAACAATTGGAAAATAGATGAGACTTAGAAAAAAATGATCTCTGCTCAAATATAACCTCTGTTGACATTTAGGTATATTTCTCTTGTCTTTTTCCTGTTTGTAGAGGTTTTTTTTGTTTTTTGGGGTTTTTTTTAGCTTATTTTTACATTGGTGTGATTCTTACCTTCCTATTGTAATTGTATTGTAATTGTGAGGAGTATCTGTGTATATGGTTTAAGAAGATTGTAAAGCAAATACTACTGCGGCCATCCAAACTAATAGAATATTGCCAGTATCTTAAACTTCTTGTAAGGCTCTTCCCCATCATATCACTTCCCTTAGAGTAATCACTGTCCTAACTTTTGTGATAGTTATTCCCTTCTTCACTTCATGGTTTCCCAACCTGTGTGTGTTCTTTAAACGATATAATTTAATTTTGACTTTTTTTGAACTTAATGGTCTCTCTCTCTCTCTTTTTTTCCAATTTACTATAAGTATTTGCTCTAGCTCTTAAGTTTCATAAAGATGCATTTTAGGCCCATAGTACTTTCTTAAGTAATGGTCACCGTGGCCTTGTGGCCAATTCTTTTATTTTTTCAGATGTAGGTGCAAGAAACTACAGGCATCTCTGTGCTGTTTATTACAACAAGAATCCTGGGTTCGAGATAATCCATGGGCTACTGGACAGAATCATGCAGTTGCTTAATGTGCCTCCTGGTGAAAAGAAGGGCGGATATGTGATCAAAGCATCAGAAGGTAAGACTGATCAGCCGAATCCAGAGTTAGTGATAATGTCATGAAGAGTCCAGGCCCTATTTTTGATAGTTTTTTCGGTTTGATTGGGGTGGGGAGGTGGGAAATAGAACTTCATTTCATTTAATTGTTAGTATTTTCCAGAAAACATTGCTTTTCCCTGCAGCATCTTAGGAAAATGCTTGTAGAGTCTTCTAGTTTTGCACAAAATACTTCTGTTTCAGCCGAGTGTGGTAGCCCCTAGTTATTGGCACCATCAAGCCCCTAGCCCCATGGTGAGACTTCTGAACTCAGGAGTCCAAACTGGAAGCTGGGAGAACCTAACCTGATGATGTGCACTCAGAAGCTGCCCGTCTGGAGCCTTTACGGCAAAAGAAAAACCTGACAAGTTATCCTGAGAGACTTCACATGTTAATCAAGTCCTAAGGTTGACTGAGGAAAAGTGAGATTCCTCCTGTATGAAAGCCCAAGGGCAGTAAGATGCGTTGGGGAGTTTCAGTTAGGCTAACCAGACGGAGTCTCTATACTACTGATGCGCCTGGGTTCTCCTGATGGGAGGCATTCTGGAGTATCCCTGTAGTTTGAATCTGAGTTTGTTTTATTAGACCAGAGATCGAGAAGGAACTTGAAATATTTGACCACTTGTTCCTACTGCTTGCCTGACAATTTTTTATTATTTGGCCTCTTAAATTTCTAACAGAACATTCATTTTTTTAAAAAGTGTTATTTGGCAGTTACGTATAGTGGAAGGAAGCAAGGCAGGCCACATGAGCAAAGACGAATATGACGGCATATGTGGCCTAGTGCAGTTTGGTTTGACTATATGGTGAGGAGGAAGCTTAGGACTATATTTAGCATCCTGGATGCTAGAATAAGGGATTTTAGCTAATAGAAAAATACTGAAGCGGGTTTTTTTTTTTTTTTTTTTAAAGCAAGTAAGTGAAATAACTTAGATCTGTGAGTCCAAGGGATTAATCTGGCAGCAGTATGGGGGGTGGGTAGCATAGAGAGTAGAGGTAAAGAGGATGGTTGGAAGGTATTGGGGTGTGTACACTGTGATAGAGTATACACTAAACTATAGTAGTGAGGATGTGGACTTGAAACTTGAACTTCAGTGTTGGGCGTAGCTATTCCAAGAAGACTGATTTAAGAAACTTCTGAAAGGTAGGAGCTACAGCACTTAGCATTTGGAACATTTCATGGTATGTGCCGCTTGGAACTTTTATAATAACAGCTAGTATGTGTTGATCTTTTTAAAAGTCAGATTTTTATAATTCTAAACCTATGGCAGTATTTAAATCCTTTATTATTTTGGTGCTAAAATATGTAGTGCTTCGTACTTAATTTCTCTGATATGTAGGTATCTGTTTTGGTTTGGAGTTGTTTTTTTTTTTTAATTAGAAAATGCATTCATGTGGTTGTAAATCTTTATGTTCAGTGTTTTAGACCACGTTGTTACTATATTTTGATTTAGTATGAGGACAGAGTCAATATTCTGTTCCCTTTTGAATTTATTTAGGCTTTCATAGTAAAATATTCTAATGTTTTAAAGTTTTGACGCCTATGAAATATCCTAGATTTATGAATTTGAAAGGCTTTGATATAACCTCTTTATGTATATGGGTGGCCTGGACCAGTACATATTTCAATATATCTAAACTGGCTATTTTGGGAAAATAAAACAGGGTATTTACTTCTAGTGTCCCTATCACCAGCATGAGCCACATCTTTTTTTTTTTTTTTTAAGTGCTTTCTATAAGAGCCATCAAGCCAAAGGGAATTACTGTCATTCTAAATAATAGTTCCTCATTTCTCGTAGGCATTTCTAAGTCTATTTTGATTAATGACAAATATGGTCTTCTTTTATGGTTAAAGAAATCAACACTTAAAGTAAGTGGTTTGTCAGAGTAAGTCAGTAGCAAAGCTGGTATTCATCTAAAATTTCACATATATATTATATAGATCATATAGGTATACATAGATATCTCCTAGGTAAATATGTGTAAACACAGGAATTTGGTAGTTGGAGTGTGTTTAGCTACATCATTTCTACCGATTTACTGTTATTTTGCATATAGCTTTTTCTGCAAAGAGAAGGTCTTGAGAGTATCAAAAAGAATAGAAGCAGATTAAGAGCTACCATTTCCTACCATTCTTGATTACTGAGTTGTCTTCTGTTACTCTGGCATATGGTTTACTTTTTAATAATTAAAAATCCCTGGTGGCTTTGCATTTATAATTGAGCTAAGTCTGTTCACCAGAGATTCCTGCTAATGTCAGTTCATTGGCAGTTATACCTAATTTCTTCTGTCTTTTCTAATGAACACCACCGACTTCCTTTTGTGCTGTGCTGTTTGGTGGTAGTGATGAGTGGAACAGAATTTGATTCCCCTTTGAGAAATGTGGCTCTGTCCATTGTGAGAGAAATCTGGAAGCTCATTTGATCCATCATTGCATCGATCCCAAGCGTTCTGTTGACATTGGATGTAACCTTGTTTAGATGAAGGCAGCAGCTCTCTGCAGCCTTGAGGAGTCTGTGCTGGAGCATGCTTGGCTCACGATTGCGGCCAGACTTAGAAGCCACAGTCGCTTAGTCTTACAGTTTTCACTCGCTGAGCACCTTTGCATTTAACGTAGCGTGAGATAGAACATGGAGTTGATGATCGAATAAGGGCAGTTAAGTGGGAGGGAGGAAAAAAACCTTTAACGTTTTAGCAGACTGTAGAGCCTTTGAGGGTTTCAGAAGGGTTCAGCTCAGTGTTTTAATGGCATTTGGTCAGATTATTGCAGCATATATATGCCTTCCCCCCTCCCCCAAGCTTCTTCCCTTTTGTGGTTTGTTGCAAACTAAATTATGTATGTCAGAATGCATTTATCCTTTTCAGAAACCACTTTTGGGCAAGAAAAAAATCTCAACGTTTTTGTGTTTAGGACAGTTATGTGGTTGCTGGGCATATCAGTGGCAAAAATAATTTCTTGTAGGAGGTGGTAGGCTTTGTGTGCAGTTGGCTGCATTGACTTTAGTTTGTAATTTTTCCCCTTTTTAAATTTTTTTTACCGAGTTCAGTTTTGTTTTATTTACAATTCTCCAGAAAACTTCAGTTTAACTTGAGACAAGATCCCTGAGAGAGAGACAGGTTTTACAGCTTTTAGTTTTGACCATTCTAGTTTTCATGCTGCTCAGAATTCATCTTGTGAAATGAACAATAACCATGTAAGTAATATGCACATTTTACCCTGCACCATATGTACCCCTACTGGTTATTTAGATACCTTCTGTTACAGCAACACCTAATGATCATTGACTTGACCTGTAGGTCATGACCTTTTCCTCTTTTAGGACACCTGTGAAGGCTTTCAGATGCTAAAAAAATACGGGTGAAACTGTGAGGGTTTTCCTAGTCTTCACACTGGTTTTTAGTGTAACTTGAGCTTGGAAATATATGAGAAGATCTGTTGAACAACTTGTTGAAGTAAAGGTGTTCCATTTATGGTTTGACTTACACAAATGTTCTGGACTCGAATAAAGGCGGGGGAGATCCATATGATGTGTCCACACTTAGTTACCACCAACAAAGGCATCACTCTCCTAAGGCATCAAGTTTAAAAGAAAAAAGGTTTACATGTTTTTAAGCTTCCAGACTTTACTACCCTGCGTAAAAACAGTACTTATTCCTCTGCTTTTCTGCTTTTTCGTGTTTCAGGCAAGCCTTCAGATACGGTTTTTGTTACCTTCTTGGAAGGGATTAAACAACTCAAACCAGTTTTGCAGCAGCCGTGATCCCCACGCAGGGAGCAGCCCTGTACCGGGCGCCACGGTGTTTGACGCTCGAGCCGTTAATATGCGGTTCACTTAGCCCTGTGGTTTTGTTTGTTTTTGCCTCCTTCTCTTCTGACTCCTGTTCGTTTCACTTTGTGTGTGTGTGGTGGGGGGGGGTACTTACTTGATGTTCCAGTACTCAGCAGATTGCAGTGACCCTCCACTTGGATGACTCCGCTCCATTTCCCATCTGATACATGTTGTAGTAACTGTTTCTCAACTTGCTTTTATTGTCTCTCCCCTAGGGAACCTTTTTAGACTTTTTCTAATTGCCCCCTACATATTATGTACTTTATGTATAGCTGTGCTTCATACATAAAAAGAGTAAGTATGAACCTTCTTAAAATTGAAGGTTAGGGTGCCTGGGTGGCTCAGTTGGTTAAGCGACTGCCTTCGGCTCAGGTCATGATCCTGGAGTCCCGGGATTGAGTCCCACATCGGGCTCCCTGCTCGGCAGGGGGTCTGCTTCTCCCTCTGCCCTCTTCCCTCTCATGCTCTCTGTCT